TTCAAATCGAGTCGTGGTGGTTCAGTGTTAAAAATCGACGATTCCGTTCATGCTTCACAGCTCATCACTATGCCTCCACCCTACTGCACCATTACAAACTTTACCTGCTCGTAAGTTGCTTGTGAAATGCAGGTTGCAGTTTTGCTATCTATATTTGTAAATAACCTTATAGACTCTATCGATCTACCCAGGTCTCCATTCAAAGTTCCATGGTAAGTTGGCGGACTTCCCTGGTAAGAGGCGCCATTCATCGCTCACAGTTGTTATCGTCGCAATCCAGTGGGGCGGAGTCACGGAGTATGGGATGAGCCCCTTGGTGGCTGTGTTTCCCACCATTTAGGTAGAAAACAACCAGTGGTAGAAAACGCCGTGGGTGGGCCCATTCCACGATTCCCCCGTCGGATGTTGGGAGGCAGGACAACAGTTCATGCTTTCTTGGAAAGACCACATACTCAGCGACGCCTGGGTTACTACTCGCTTCCTAGCCAACTTCCTTCGGTTTCACAAGCGATGTCGTTGACAGAACATACTCAGAAGTCAAGTTTTGTTAAGGATCAAAACCAGGTCATTTCACTTTTTCAAGGATTTGTTTGCTGAGTAAGGGAGACGCACACTCATTTGGAGAAGCAGCATTCCGACCTTCTACAGAAGAACAAGCCCAAGAAACGATTGCAAACCTTTGCGAATCATGATAAAACTCTTACTGTGGGCGGTACTGGGAGCATCGGCAATCGTCGGCGTAATTGCTACAATCGCGCTTCCTGAGCGATCGACGGACCCTGGAATACAGTAGAATAGTTGAGGAAAAACGAGAAATACAGTAACAACAAAATCTTTATAACGTCAATGGAAAGTCATGTCACAAATTCCCTTTTTTTATGCGATTCACGAAACTTCATAAAATAGCGCGGTAACTCTGGCCCTGTACTCAAAAGCTCTACTCTTCGCAGCTCTGTCGTGGCACTCCTGTTAGTCTCTATGAGCGATAGCCCTAGAGTCAGATTTGGTCACTTTGTTAGAGAGAGTCCATCAGATTGAGCTAATGAAACTCATTTCCGGGTTTGAAGCTCAGCAATCTGTCACAGTAACCACTCTCCGGTAAAGTATACGACTTTACCGGAGAGTGGTGCTGTGACAGATTGCTGAGCTTCAAATTGCTGAGCTTCGGCTGTCGCCTCTTTTGTACGACAGCCGTTAAAAATATTCCCGGTATCGAGGTAATTTAGCAGTACGAAGGAGTTTGAATTATTTCAGCAGGTAAGGATACTCTCTGAGGGTATAAATACAAAATTTCAGTTCTAGGTATCCCTGGTGAAAGAAGACCAGAATGACTGATGCGACAATGTTGAGAAAATGATTACTGATTAAAAAATTGGGAAAAATGAAAGAAAATTTGAGAAAATGATCAGTGATTTCTTCTTTTTTGCTTTTTTTTTCTTCTTGTTCCCAAGCTAAGAAAAGATCTCGTGGAAAGCGTTTTTCTGACGATGAAGAGCTGAAGGCGGCAATTAACGCACATTTTGGGGACAGGGAAGAAGAATATTTTTAGAGGTATTGAAAAGTTAGTTTCCCGAGCAAACAAGTGTATTGAGGTTATGGGGGACTACATTGAAAAATAAATTTTATTCAGAATTTTCTGCCTTTTCTTCATACCTATACCGAGAATACAATGAACACCCCTCGTACTTCTTATGCATTTTGTGTCAAACCTTTGGTTAGGAATGTGTCCACGGGGATAGCCAGTCCTCACTGAACCAAAGCATCACACCCGGCTAGGACTACAAACTTTTTTCAACTAAAATTCCTCTCACTACGAGAGTCTAGAGGCATGTTCTTGTGCGTAAAGTGAGCCTTGAAGGTCGAAAAGAAGAATTAATGAATACAGAAAGAAGGAAGGAAAAGCAAGAAAAAAATGAATGGAGGAGGAAGGAAGGTTCACCACTGAGAGAACTCTGAGAGCAGGCACAATTGGGCTAGAATTTTCCAGCGGGAGGGGGGGGGTCGTAGCTGGTCGTTGAGAGAGATGGGTGAGGGGGGTGGAAGGTTCGTATTTTGCCCTTACGGATGGAAGTGACGGCGCAGCAAAAAAACATTTTTTTTGTGTTGCTCACTTCGCGGTATTTCACATGTGCTATGAACCCCCTCCCGCCTGACGGTGAAATTTTGGAAAAAGGTGGAATGTTTTGGGAAATTTTGGAGAATAAGGTGGAGGGAGGAGGCTGGGAAAGTTGGCAAGATCGTAGGAAGGATGGGGAAGGGAGGTGTTGTATTAGAGGAGAATATTTGGGGAGAGGGGGGGGGTCGTGCTTTCCGAAATTTTCCCCACTGGCAGGATGTGCCCTGCCTGAGAATGAGTACACTTGGCGATCTGGTAAAAGGAGCCAGAGAAGATGTGTGCGTAGTTTGGCTTGGTGGTGGCACCAAATGGTGTTCAGCGTCATGCGGTTCGCTTGCACCATTTCGCAGCTTCACAAGCGTTTACAGGTCTTACCATGGTGATACCCGTTAAAATGACTAGCATGAGTGCAAAATGTCAACCACCCCCCTTCCCCTCCGCCCCCTCCCCGGGTCTAACAGCGCCGAGATGTGATGTGTCCCAGGAGGTCGAGTCACTAAAATTCGTACGAAATCGTTTACAGGTCTCACCGAAAGGATACCTGATTCTGTTAAAATGACTAGCGTAAGTGCAAAATGAACCTCAGGATCATGAACAAGAATTTGGACAAAAACAGAAAATTACAAAAGTGGGTCGTCGGATGAACATAGCTGCTTTAACGCCTGCGACGCCCAAGAAACGAGCGAACTTGACGGCCCATAATGCAGGAAAAGGTGTTGAAGCGAGCAGAGGAGCATCGAAAGGCTAATCCCCTCCCTTCAAGTTTTTAGGGATATATTCCGCGCGTTAAAACTAATCGATGTAACTGTGAAGATAGATGAAACTAACCTGGCAGCGAGAAGACCTCCTGTAACACCTTAGCGCGGTGTTTAGTAATACTCATTGATTGAGTTACAGTCTATGAATAATCGTCTATCTGGAAGAAACATGTTCTTGCACACTATAGTTTAATTCACTGCTGACGAAGGGGCGTGTCCGTCAAGCCGCATGAGTTTGGCGCGATGCCAAACCAGTTCTTCACCAGTTGTTGAAGCGAGCAAGTGACAAGACTGTATCATATCGTTCGTATCACTCGTTTTCTACCAACTGTTGTCGCATACCCGCTTCAACAACTGGCAGAGAACGGGTTTGGAGCCGTGGCACACTCATACTGCCCGACACGCCCTTTCGTTCGCAGCGAACTAGAGATTTAATTGAAAATCTTGCTTATCAGTGAAGGAAGAAACCCTCAAAAAAACATTAGCGACGATGAGTTACAAATCAAACGAGACGTACGAACATCAACGAATCAATGTGATTCTAATGGAGAATTATGAATCATATGTTTGCAGATATGCAATATGCTATTGGACATCACTATCAGAAAAAAGCAATTTTTGAATGCTTACTCAGAACATTCTGTTACTACGGATGGGAACTTTTTCCACCAATCTCACAGAAAATTCAAGGACTGAACTTTCGTGAAATCTTACCGACGTTCCATGACCATATCAGGTTGGTGTCAAGGTTCACCATCCGTTGTGTAAAGCACAACGGGAAAAGGATTGTGTTTGACAGCTCAGGAACAAAGGGGTCATCTTGTACTTTGTGTGAAAAAAATCTCTCGATTTTTACATTTGACGCGCGCTAGATACCCCATCCCGCTCGCGCTAAAAAATATGGGGAACAGCTGGGAGGCAGGAGTACTGGCGAGCAGGGTTTAAGCCTCCCCCGGGTTTTTTGTGTGAAACACATAGGGGAGGTCGACTTGGGGCCGCTGGGTAGGGGAATTGTATTTTCTCGTTGCTGCCAGAATGGGGGTCGCATGTGCCTTTTTCTTCATATTAAGCTTAATTTCGGATAGTCTTAACAAATAGTAGTTGTTTTCTGAGCGACCTCCCCCTCCCCGCTCGATCGGAAACTTTTTTAGATGAGGACCTGGAAAATTTCCAAGGAAATTCTGGGAAACTCCGAAGAAGTGTAGGAAAATTGGGAATTTATAGGAAGTGGAGGACAAGGCGCGTAGAAGGGGTCCTTGTTAGATTGGGGGGGGTGGGCTGTGCTGACACCACCATTCAGCGACAATCACGATGATGTACGGCCTGACTTTGAGCGATGGGTCCCGCATCGCAGTAGCAATTTGGGCAGCGGGGTTTCATTTAGAGGAAAATCTCACACGTGTGATGTGGGCCTTCAATGGTCTGGTCGGTGTAGTTGTAGGCTACGGCGCTGGGGCAGTGTCCAAGAGAGAAACTGCCTCTACCGGAGGTTGCCGGCAGATGTTCCACTAACTTGTTGTAGCTTGTCCAGATTCAGCAAACTGTTTGAAAAGTGCTGAAAAACGGCTGTGGGCAGCGCCTAAGCCCGTTTTTCCAGACAGCTTTTTCAAACCAGTTGCTGAATCTGAGCTCACTCCTACCCTGGCAAGCCCCACGCGTTGTAGGTGGAACGACCTGTAGTGTCACGCTCCTGTCTCACGGTAAACCTAGCAACAAGATGAAGGTTAAGAAGAATGGCCCTTTTGGGCGGCGAGAACGAAGTGAAACGACGAAAAAATAAAGGTTTTATAAGAACTGCTCTGATTTCTGACAGCGAATGGGTCTACACAGTAACCTGCTAGGGGCCGGTGTGGAAGTGAGAACTTTGTCCATTATAACAATTACTAAAGTAAATGTGAAAACATGGGATGCACCATAGGAAGACCCTGAACATACGAAAATCCAAAACGTTCTGGAAAAATCCAAAACTTTCTCTCTAGAATATTCCATCGATCGAAGTAGGTGCTAGGCACCAAAATATTCAGAAAAGGGAGAAAAAAATTGACAAAAAAGTTTAGATTCCTTTTGTCTTCAGAGCCTGTGGCAATAGAATCTTTTGGTCCCTGATCAACTTTTTACATTTGGATTCGAATGAGACTTCGGCACAACACAATCAGCCAATCATTAGATGAGAGCCCTTGGGGGAAAGACAGCCTTGCTAATCCCAGCAAAAGTCGATCTTGGGCATAATCCCCTGCAACCGTGCGCCTGGTGAGCGGCGGCCTTGTCTCTGCATTACCGCCGCGGGACCAAGCAATGGAACAAGAGCTGTAGGAGCGATACTATGCTGATGCCTTCTCCCATGATGAGGGGGTTTTGTCGAAGCAGACAAGCACAGAAATTTAGCTTAGAGAAAGGTCTTGGAATTTCTGCAGTGTAATGATTTGGCACAATGCCTGGAAACATGAGAGCACTCAGCCTCCTGTCCCGCACGAGGTTAAAAGGTTTGTTAATACCTATTAATTCTGAGATTACAATAAAAGCGATCCCTTTCAGGTCCAGATGGCCGATGACCTATCGGTTTGCAGTACAAGAGAAGCTACTTGCATGAGAAGAACCATGCACCGTCATGTCTGTTATGGTTGCGAATGATTCAAACTATGAGGAACTGATTAGGCTGATAGTAACCAGTCAGCAGAGAAAAGACAGTTCTATGCTACACATGAATCCGTCCAATTTCACTGGCGCTGAAATGGATGCGAAACAAGCGCTATAATGCCGTTTCCGTCTCGCATTTGTATGGAGAACGATTCCCATTGACGAAATTATGTTGTTCTCAAATGTCTACTGACTATGAAGGAGGAAAAGGTACCAAGAATAGTGACTGGCGGAAGCTTCAGGCTGCATCTTCCTCAGTGGGTGGAGCTGGTACCAAGCTTGGATTAAAAATTCGCAAACATTCAACATCACAGAAGTGGATTAGGGGTTTGTATATAGACGACAAGGTTACGAGTAACTCGATAGTGAAAGAAAAAAAAGCAAGAAAGAAACTTGCCAATGCCCTAGATGAAACCCAATCTCGATCCTAGTTTGTACGTGCCCAACTGTCTCCATCTCCATCACTACACCCTCATCTGCACAGCTGATTCCCCCGATAGGACCTCTACGACCGTAAATGCAACCATTTTCATGGCTCTTTCGTTGCTCCGTCCAGCTTCGTTTTTTCAGCCTGAAAGAGTGGGCACTGAATGCGGAGTTTGGAGTCGGGGTCCCTGGGATAAGAAAGCAGGCGTCAATGAAAGGAGGCGTCAATGAACCTTATTGCGCTATAGCGCCCCTCCCTTACAATTTTTTTTTCGCGAAACCGGTACAACGTGGTTCGCCGCGACCCACACTACTCTCCCAATGTCATAGTTTCAACTTCTATACCTGATCGCGGACCGTACCTTCGAATTCGCCAGTTCCTTTTTTCCACTGTTTGAGAATTCGAAAACAAGAAGGAAGGAAGGCCGGCACTACTCAGCTACTACTACTTCAGTCCCCAAAGAAATTTTCTGCTAAAATTTCTCCTACGGTTCTACGTGCCCTGATCGCAAACATGACATCCGTTTCTGGGACGGTACTATTTGACGTCATTATGTTACCAGCATGTAACTTTTATTCGGCCTAAATAGCTTATAAACTTCATATTGAGGGTTATGTGGGATCCATGACCACGAACTACAATCGTTTTCGGTGCAAGTGCTAACGGCAATCTAGTGTCTGGCGCCACTGCTAGAGCAGAGCAACAGGGATTCAATTCTGACCATGTGAAAGCTCGGCCCCTGTCAGCCCTAACAGAGTGCTCATAGTGCTGGCGTCAAAAATGAATATCAAACTCGTGATTGGGTCTTCCGACTAACCGCAGGTACGAAATACGAACGCTCTGGAGAGGAATGTGGTGGCACCCAATTGACGCCATAGTGGCGCCAAATGACGCCACCTCCCACATGGATATCATATTCGAGATAAGGGCATTAGATAACCTCTTTGGTGGGCGTTTCAACGGGAACATTTGAGATATTGGGGCAGTAGTAGCTGAATAGCGCAGGGAAGTTGAGCTAAACCCACCTATGTAGTAGAAATAAATATTTCAGTTCAAGCTTGCGCAGTTCCTAGAAGGCAACAGATTGTGCCGAAAGTGTGAAAGTGTTCTCACGAATGTAATTCACGATAGGCACATTCCGGGAAGGCGAAGAGGCCCGGCGATCATTCGCTTATCGCAGATAGTGGTTTGCATATTGACGGCAGGGTTCCAAGCAACTCGACAGTGAGAGAAAAAGTAGAGAAAAGTATACCAACTGCCCTGAATAGAACCCCACTCCAAACCGAGTTTGTTCATGCCCACTTAACTCCATCTCGAGCACTACGCCCTCATTCGCACAGCTGATTCCCCGATAAGAACTCTAGGACCGCATAAGAGACGATTTTCATGTTTTTTTTTTGTCCTGCAGCTTCGTTTTTCGCTGAAAGGCGGGCTTCGAGGGTGGAGTCTGGAGGCGGAGTCACCGAAAAAAAGGAGGCGCCACTGAACCTATTATTGCGTTATATAGCGATATTTTCTTACAATTTTTTGCCGCGAAACTGGTACAGGGTTGTTTGTCGCGACCCACACTACCTTCCGAATGCCAAATTTTCAACTTCTATACCTGATCGCATACCGTGCCCTTTTCTACTGTTGGCACTTTGATCTTCCCCATTCAACAGAGGCTCTTCTCGAGAAAAAGCACCTCCTGTGCCATTTTTCTCCGGGAAACAGCTCATTAGAGAACCATCAAAGAACACTTTGCCATGAATCTATTGGTCTGGGTCCAAAGGGATCGAACCATGGAAAGCAGGATTTTTGCTGAGACTTGAGTGATGTTGCAATGGGACTGATACGCCAAGGTACTCGTCTTGAGTTCTATGTGCGGGCTGGTGGCCACCCAAGACCGCTTATGACGTACATGAAAAGCGTCTTCGAGAACAAACTTATACGGAAAATTGGCAAAATGGAGCACTCCTGTAATCTAGCATTTCAAAGAGAATGAAGAGGGGAAAACTATATGCGATAGGAGATATACGAGAGCATTCAGGATGGATTGCTTAGTGCAATGGATTGGAATGTCTTGCGGATCAAGTGCATGTTTTTTCGCCAGCACTTCTCCACAGGTGCAGTTACGCGAACCGGTGAAGTCTCTTGAAAAAAAGTCCCGTGGAACACTTTTTGTTGGCTGCTCAATGTCGGACTTACCGAATTGTCCTAAAGAAAAACTGGGAATCGCACTGATTATTGTAAAATGCCTGACCACTTTATCATTTTCTTTCATGCTTATTTTATTCACTACGCTGGTAAGGTAAGGAGTAAATCTGAAAGACAATTAAAAGGTGAAACTGAAGTCATAAAATCACGTGCATAATATTGGCAGTATAGAGAAGCCGACAGTGAATAGTCTGTTTCTGAACCGCGCCACGGACTCGATTTGCATTCAGGATAGTAGCGGCACTTCACTGTGATGTGCTCTAAAGAACACACAAACTTGGCAGCTATCAAATAAGCTTAGCCAGTTTCAAGGAACTGTCCGCGATCAGGTATGGAAGTTGAAAATATGGCGTCGGGAGGGTAGTGTGGTCCGCGACGAACAACCTTGTACCGGTTTCGCGGCAAAAAATTGTAAGGGAGGGGCGCTATAGCGCAATATAGGTTCAGTGACGCCTCCTTTTCCAGTGACTCCGCCTCCAGACTCCGCCCTCAAGGCC